AGGATGGGCTGGTTGGATGGCATCACTGACTCAGTAGACATGAGTTTGGGTGGACTCCGGGAGATGGTGATGGACTAGGAAGCCTGGCGTGCTGCGGTCCACGGGGTCACAAAGAGTCGGACACGCCTAAGCGACTGAGCGCAGCTCTCACTGCGCGGCTACGAGAGGCGGCCGGGGGCTGCGAGGAGGAGGAGGCGGCCTCTGGGCTGCGAGGAGGAGGAAGAAGGTGGGGGGTGGGGTCAGGCACGGGAGCAGCAGCTGCTGCAGCAATGTCTGGAAAAGGCCTGGCTGTAAAAAGGCACAGGCTCATTGTTATGTCCAGAGGTCACTGGCCACACGTGTGGCTGTGACCAGTACGGTCCCCCACGGGGGCTCCAGTGGGGGTCGGCGCCCTGCCTGTCCAGCCCCTGAAGCCCTAGCATCCTCCGGGGCCCTCTGTCCATGTGCAGAGCCAGCGATGCCAAGGGGACGCCTTCCTTTAGGGTCTCTGGACCCTTCTCCTGTCTCGGACCCCTCACCGCCCACCAAGGTGAGGAAGGACACCCCCCTGCTTCATGCTCAGCTGTCAGAGGGCAAGGTCCCCCATCTGGAACCCGAGGGAAGTGTGCAGTCCTAGCCCCAAGGCCGCAGAGGCAGAGCCCAGAACCAAGGTCACCTCTGAAACTGACTGAGACCCTTTGTCATGTCCTGTTAAGTCCGACTCTTTGCGACCCCATGGACTGTAGCCCGCCAGCCTCCTCTGTCCATGGGATTCTCCAGGCAAGAATCTTGGAGTGGGTCGCCATGCCCTCCTCCAGGGGATCTTCCTGACCTCCAGGGATCAAAACTGGGTCTCTTAAATCTCCTGCATTGGCAGGAGGGTTTTTACCACTAGCACAACCTGGGAAGCCCCAGCCCCTTTCTACCGGTTCCTTAAAGCCTCCTGATTTTCGCTAACAAGCTTCCAGACCCCAAATTACAGAAAGATGCCCACTCCAGTAAACCCCTATAGTGCCCCTAAAGCCAGCCTTCCAACAGGAATGTTCTGTTATGAGGGCTTCCCTGGTGGCTTAGATGGCAAAGAATCTGCCTGCAATGCAGGATCCCTGGGTTCCATCCCTGGGTTGGGAAGATCACCTGGAGAAGGGCATGGCAACCCCCTCCAGTGTTCTTGCCTGGAGAATCCCATGGAAAGAGGAGCCTGGCGGGCTATGGTCCATGCGGTCGCAAACAGTTGGACACGACTGAGCGACTAAGGATGCAGAGATTATAAAAACTGGCTGCTGGCCCGTGAGGACTGTCGACTCCCCCTGCTCTGACAGGTAGTCAGCCTGCTTCACTCACGGTGCTCACAGGATCTCTGCTCTTGGTTCTTAAACAACTCTCTCCCTCCTGAAATGCTCTGTGTCTGGAAATTCTTTTCCAGCAGAAAGCAGGGCTTCTGGAGATCTGGAGAAATCCAGGTGCTGTGACTGAGGAGGGTGACCCCGGGGCGGGGAGGGGACCTGGCTTGGAGGGAGAGGAGTCAGGGGCGGCAGGAAGCCCTGCCCGGAGGGAAGGACGGGGCCAGGAGGGAGCTGGCCGGGGTCCGAGCTCAGGAACGCGGGAAGGCGAGCCGCCAGAGGGAAGGAGCAGCGCCTGCAGCAGGGACTTGGGGGCGAGGGGAGAAGGGCCACCTGCGGCTGTTGCTCTTAGCCAGCCTGTGCTGTCTCTCTGCGACCCCAGGCCTGTAGCCCCCCAGGCTCCTCTGTCTCTGGGGCTCTCCAGGAGTGGACACTGGAGTGGGCTGACATTTCCTCTTCCAGGGTACCTTCCCCTCCCAGGGCTCGAGCCCACTCTTGGGCATGGCAGGCAGATTCTTTGCCTGCAAAGCCTGGCCACCAGGAGGGTTCCCTGGCAATGAGCTGGAATTCACGGCCTGGCTCTGAGCCCTTGACCTCCAGCCACAATGGGGGGAAGGGGGGCAGGGGCACAAGGCGCTTCACTGGGAGGAGCGGAAGGCGCTCGCAGAGGGCGAGGGACTGCCCCCCGGGGCTCTGGTCAGCTCAGGTCAGCGGGTCTGCAGGCGAGGACACGCCCTGGGTATCCACCTTCACCGGTGGAGACCACACACCAGAGTCAGAGCTGGGTCAAGGGCCATTCGGGGCACAAGGGCCGGACACTTCGGTGGAGGACTTGGCCACCTGCCGACCAGCGTGACCCGGAAGGATCAAAAGCTTGGAGGCCTGGATGATGCAACGGAGTCCTGGGCTGACAGTCCTGTTTGCTCCGGTCCTGGGCGCCAGCAACGACATGCTGGACCGTGGCCAGCGCTCAGCCAGGTGGTCAGGTCGCCCTCGCCCAGCTCACGGCCCTCAGGGCCCCCGTGGTCACACCCGGGATGCGCTGGCATCCCACCGCCTGGACGCTGGACCCACGGTCAGTCGGGATGTCCCCGCGACGGCCCCTGGGCAGGGCTGGGCCCTGCAGGCTGTCTATCGGGAGGACCCAGGCCCCCCCAACCCGGCCAGGCAGCGCTGTCCGCGCAAGGGGTCCTCCCCCTGGAGCCCGGCGATGCAGGGGTCGGGGCGGGGCAGATCTGGGAGGCGGTCCCCTCCCCCTCAGGGAGTGGGTGTTCCCGGCATCCAGTCGGGCCTTTGAGGAAATGCCTGAAGCTCCCGCGGGCAGAAAGAGCTCAGCGAGCGAGCAGCCGGGAGTCCCCACTGGACTCCGCGGTCAGAGAGTGCAGTGCGCACGCGGCGTCCACCGGGGAGACACAGGGCAGACTCCCGAGGTGAGGCGGGGGTCCCAGGAGGTCTGCGTGCTCGGGCCCCGGGCCCCGGGCCCTGGGCAGTGGACTGTGCTGTGGGAGGGGCTGGAGGGCCGGGACCTCCCGGGGGAAGGGAGGCGTCCACCCGGCGTCTCCACGAGGAAGGAGGGTCCCTCCGGCTGGGAGCGCGGAGCCCGACGGAGCCCCCAGACTGCGGCTCGCGGGGCGCGGTGACGAGCCCATCATGAGTCCTGAGCCGGTGCTGACCCTGTGCTGGCCGGGGCCACTGGGGGAGGACAGCTGATGTCCCAGGTCTCCTGTCCTGAGCGGGGAGGGTCACGGACCGGTCGGAGTGGATGAGCAAGTTGGGAGCCCAGAAGTGCTTGCTGGACCCACTGAGGGTTTCAGGGGGCTGGTGAGTTTGGGGGATGCAGTGAGCATTTCCAGCAGCTGGCGAGTTTGGGGGGACACAGTGAGCCTTTCAGGGAGCTGGTGATTTTAGGGGACCCAGTGAATGTTTCAGGGGGCCAGCGCGTGTCTGGTGGACCCCATGAGCCTTTCAGGGGGCTGGTGAGTTTGGGGATTCAGTGAGTGTCTCAGGGGGCCAGTGAGTATCGGGGGACCCAGTGAGCATTTCAGGGGGCCAGCGAGTTTGGGGGACCCAGTGAGCATTTCAGGAGGCCACCAAGTATCTGAGGGACCCGGTGAGCCTTTCAGGGAGCTGGTGAGTGGGGATCCAGTGAGCGTTTCAGGGGGATGGTGAGTATCCGGGGACCCAGTGAGCCTTTCGGGGGGCCGACGAGAATCTGGGGGACCCAGTGAGACTTTCAGGGAGCCGGCGGGAATCTGAGGGACCCAGTGAGCCTTTCAGGGGGTATGGTGAGTTTGGCAGCCTGAGCAAAGGTCTAAGAGCCTGGCGCTTGTGAAGCCTGCTGACCATTCAGGGGGCCGGGTGAGCAGGATGACAGGAACGGCTCTGTGCTGGGTTCGCCGGCCCTGCATTGCTCCATCCATTCATTCACCTGAGAACTATGTCCTGGGTGCCTGTGTGCCCGTCCCACCCGCAGACGTGCGTACAATCACACGGGGCCTCCCCCCGTGTGTCCCCAGGGCCTGCGGGGGCGGAACCTGCCCTCACCGGCACGCACCCCACACGCTCACCTGAGTGGCCCGAGGACGCAGAGGGTGAGGCAGACGCAGACGAGAAAGTGCCCCGTGGAGCAGAAGCCATTGGGGCATGCAGGTGCACCCCACTTGCTCCCTGGGGTGCTGTCCGAGGCCTCGAGGCTGGGTGGCCCTACTGCCGAGCGCTCCCAAATCTGCCCTTAGAAACGACACAGCTGGAGCTCGCAGCTAAGGGAGAGCAGGTAGGTGACCCACACATGTGTGCCTGGGAGACGGGAAAGCGTCCTGCAAGCACAGGCGTGGTGTCCACGGGGTTGAGACATTCGCCCTTCTTTCACAGTGAAGCCAGCACTGTCTCAGGCCAGCGCAAACGGGAGGGTGAAGGGCCTGTGACAGTGACCCGGATTCTGATGGAACAAGGGTTCAGGGATGTGGAGACAGGAGGGTCAGGACTGGGCAGGTGACCTGTCTTATGGGGAGACGGGGACAGGACACCCAGCGGGCAGGAGACCTGTGTTATGGGGGAGACGGGGACAGGACACCCAGCAGGCAGGAGACCTATGTTATGGGGAGACGGGGACAGGACACCCAGCGGGCAGACTCATGTTATGGGGAGGTCTCCTCTGTGAGGGGCAGACAGACACACACCCATAGGTGTCCCCAGGATGGTGACACAGACACGCCAAAGGAGCCTATGAGACGGGGCACACACACCCACCGGTGCTCCCCAGGGCCGTGTTGGGGGTTCTGACATACTGTTTTGCTGTGTGTTCTACTTGCAACTTGTTGAAGCCGATGAAAATCACATTCAGATTAGAAAAGACTTTTATTGTGAAGGGTTACCATGAAGGGCAAAGGGGACGATTACAGGAGGATAAGTCCTCCAGGGAGGACTGCTACTATGCAGAGGGGATGATTACATAGAGGCAGGACTTTACTTGTGCAAGGGGCAGTATTACGGTAGAGAGGTGACTAATACGATGGAGGGGAGACACAATACATGGGGCTATGACCATGTAGGGGGATATTCCTGCGGAGAAAGCGGAAGTCGTTCAGTCGTCTCTGACTCTATACAGGCCATGGAATTCTCCAGGCCACAATACTGGAGTGGGTAGCCCTTCCCTCCTCCAGTGGGTCTTCCCAACCCAGGGATTGAACCCAGGTCTCCTGCATTGCAGGCGGATTCTTCACCAGCTGAGGCACCAGGGAAGCCCTACTGTGGAAAGGAGACTCATAATAAAGGAGGACTTTTACTGCAGTGGGGGACTATAACTGTGGAGGGGAAATGTTATAACAGGGGCACTCTGATACTGTGGGGGCTGTTATGGCAGAGGAGGGACCACGACAGTGGGGGGGGACTATGGTAACAAAGGGAACTATTACAATAGAGGGGGCCATTCCATCCAGGGGGACTCTTACAGAAGAGGCACTATTTCTGTGGAGGGAGGACTCTTACCATAGAGGGGGGCTGTTACGACAGAGGCCTCGCTCTGCTGAGAGGGAACTATTATGGTACAGATGAGACTGTTACGGGAGAAAGTGGTCTACCACTGTAGAGGGGGGACTGTTACCCTACAGAGACTAAGACAAAGGGAGAGGGACCATTATGATAGAAGAGGACGATTACCTTAGGGGGCACCATTACAATGAATGGGGTCTATTGCTGCAGACAGGGGCTATTACAATAGAAAGGGACTACTGAAATTGAGGAGGACTATTACTGTGGGGGGGGACTATGACAACAGAAGGGGACTATTACTGTGGAGGGGGGACTATGACAACAGAAGGGGACTATTACTGTGGAAGGGGGGCTATGACAACAGAAGGGGACTATTACTGTAGGGGGGACTATGACAACAGAAGGGGACTATTACTGTGGAGGGGGGACTATGACAACAGAAGGGGACCATTACTGTAGGGGGGACTATGACAACAGAAGGGGACTATTATTGTGGAGGGGGGACTATGACAACAGAAGGGGACTATTACTGTAGAGGGGGGACTATGACAACAGAAGGGGACTGTTACTACAGAGAGGGGACCTTAAGAATAGGGACAAGCCCTGTCCGTGGAGAGCAGTAAACACAAGAATAAAGGCCCAGGCACGTGTGTGCCATGAAAGGGGTCCTGATGGCTTGTGGACCACAGGCCCTGACTCGGGAGGAGCCCTGAGGGGAGGCCTCTGACCTGGCAAGGAAAGTGGCTGCAGCTGGGGCTGGGCAGGCGGAACCAGCGGGCTGCAGGCTCATGTTCTGACTGGTCCTGGGAATGACCAGGTCGGCCCCAACGGACGATCCCGGGGAGGGACTGGTCTGTGTGGCCGGGTCAGGGAAGTGAGGATCTAAGTCTCTACAGGGAGGGGTCTTTGCAGAAACTGTTTCCAGGACATGGGGGGTGAGGGTGGGGCTTCCTGGACCCGCAGGTCACCTTCAACACCACGCAGAGGGCACTGTCCCCTCTCCCGGGTGGGAAGACCAGGCACAGAGGCCCGGGAGCGAGGTCAGAGTCCCAGGAGCGAGGTCAGGGGCCAGGCAGGTGGCCGAGTCTGCAGCCGCCACTCAAGTCCGGGTCCGTGTCTCCAGGTGATTGTTTTAAATCGCCTCCTTGCATCAGGGATGGCCGCGCTTGGCCCCACCTGGGTAAAGACTCTAGTGTTTTCACTCCTCTGTCCCCGCCCTGTCAGGACACCCACCCATAGCAGGAGAGAGGGGCCACTCAGACCCTGACCGGAAGCGCTCCCAGCTTCTTAGCTGCTCAGGTGGGTGTTTCATCCTGGGAGCCTGCCCAGTCACTTTTTACTGCAGCAACACCCACCTGATGGAGAGAGCGCCTCTGGGGCGCGAAGGGGGTGTGACCTAGTGCCTGAGCTCCATCCCCCTAGAGTGGGAGACCCCATACCTGGAGACCCCGCAGGCTCAACCGGGCCCCTCAGAGGAGGGGGCTGGTGCAGAGCGCGAGGGTAGGGGGCCCTCTGGAGGGGGTCGCCAGCTCCAGCCGCAGAGAGAACAGACTTGAGGGCTGGGGTCTGTCTCTTGTCCGCTGTCCCCCCTCCCTTGCGTCCCCTCAAACCCTCACTTCACCACCGTGTCTGTCTTCGCGTCTCTGCCCAACTCTCCCTGTGTCTGTCTGTCCCCAGGCCTCGTCTCCCCTCTCCAGCACCCCATCCTCCTTTCTCTTGGAGACAAGTCCGCAGGTTCCCGTTTCTCAGAGCCACGCCTTCGCGCCGCCAGCACCGCGCCTTCGGCACGTCCTGTTCTAACTCCTGCAGAGCCCCGTTTCCTCCCCCGATCGCCCAGGCTCGGCCTCCGATGGGCGGGCAGGTGAGCTCGCCCGGCTCCTTCCGCGGCCTGCCCTGCGCCTCCAAGGCGAACGCGGACTGGATGTCGGCGCTGAGCTCTCGGCTCTGGGACGTGCCCCTGCACCAGCTCTCCATCCCAGGTGAGGCGCCGCGGGCTCGGCTCGGCGGGAAGGCGGCCGCGAGATGGTCCCAGGTGTACGAAGCCTCAGTGCCACACATGCGCACACGCATGCACACACACGGGCACACGCATGCACACTGCACACCGAACGCGCGCGCGCGCACACACACACGCCGAACACGCGCGCGCACGCAGATGCGCGCACACGCAGTGCACACACACACACACACACACACACACACACACACACACACACACACACACCAGCGTCTTCCCTTCTGCGTCCACTTCATCCTCATTCGACCCGGGAGGAAAGCGAAGCCCCGAGAGCCTGCCTTCAGGACACACGCCAGCCCTGGTGGGGGGCGGGGAGGATGTCGCGCTTTCTCAGGCACTGTCCTACTCCCTGGGACCCCTGGGAACTTCCTCACCTTCGCACCCACGTTTTCCATCAGAGCTCGTGCAGCACCTTCTGCACTTGAGCCCCGAGGGCCCAAAGTTTAAGGTGTCCACGCGGCCCCAGACGACTCGGTAAAGTGGTACCGGAACTACCTACTTAAAATGAGGAACCTCTGGCTCCAGCCAGTTTGGTCGCAAAGTGCTGCAAAGCTCAGCCGTGGGCAGGCATCTCGACTTGGGGATGCCCGGCGGTGCCCAGGCCGGCGGGCACTTCCAGGGCGACACTGCTGTGCTCAGGCCATCGGAGGGGCGGCCAGCGGCCACCACGGCCCGGGCGGGGAGGGTCCCCGCCGGCCAGCACCAGCCTGCTCCCCTCCCAAGGTGCAAACGCGTCCCGTTCTCCACCCGCACTCCTCTGGCCGCGCGGACTCCGGGCCCTGCCCTGGCCTCGACCCTGGGCCCTGCCCGCTGGGTGCGCACACGGACCGCGGGACAAACAGGAAGTGCGGTTCCTAGGGAAGGCAGCTTCAGACTCCTCCTCTCCTCGCCTCGCCTCGGCCCACATGGCCCTTCCCTGCGGGTGTGGAGCAGGCAGGGAACCGCAGACCCGGGCTCTCTGCCCTTCCGCTGCTTCCCCGCCGGCAAGGAGGGGGCGTCCCAGTGTTCAGGCAGCCTCCACCTAAGAGGGCCCAGCCGCTGTCCTCACACAGAACTCCTGAGGCCCTCCCCCAGGCCGGGCACCACTCACCTGCTTCTGTCTTTGCAAATGTGCCTGTTCTGGACATCTCTTATAAATGGACACAGAAAACGTGTCCTTCTCTGCTTCTCTCACTGCCCATCGTGTGTTCAAGGTCCATCCACGATGTAGCCTCTGTCAGAGCTTCACTCCTTTTCATGGTGCGTCACACACCACCGTGTGCATGGACCCAATGCTGAGAACCCACCGACTGATCTATCCACCCACTCACCATCCACCCACCCACCCACCCATCCATCCACTCATCCACCCATCCCTTCCTCTATTCATCCATCCATCCACTCATCCATAACATCATTAAACCAAATTATATTGTGAACTTGTAAATCCTCCTTCCCATCCCTTGACTCTGAGAATAAATTTCTTTTTAAAAACTGGGGGCGGGGGGAGGGGGGGGAATAAAGCTTGTCCAAACCTACGTTCAGAGACAGAAGGGAAGGATTTCTGGATCGTCCCCAGGTGACTGCTAAGCTGTGAATCTCTCCACAGTGTCTGTGAAACAGACCACACAGATTTAAAAGCAAAAAGAATAGATGACACCACACATGACCCACAACACTGGCATCATAAAGAGCCTGAAAGTACTATGAGTAACTTCAAAGTGCTTGTAACTAGAGAGGGTCTGTCTGCGCTCACTCATGTCACTCTCTGAGACCCCATGGAGTACACCCACCAGGCTCCTCCCTCCGTGGGGTTCTCCAGGCAAGAATCCTGGAGTGGGTTGCCATGCCCTCCTCCAGGGGGTCTTCCCGACCCAGGAATCGCACCTGTGTCTTTTACGCCTCCTGCACTGGCAGGCAAGTTCTCTACCACGGCCCACCTGGGAAGCAACCAACCATAAAATCAAGCCACCTTAAGCCTTTCCTGTCCAAAAACGGGACTCCTTAGACAAACTGCTCTTCCCTTTCTCACATCGGCAGAGACCCCACTGAGAAACAGGACTCAGTTCCCAGGTCTGGTGGACAGGACTTTCAGGGTTCCCCACGCCCTGTGGTGCTACAGCTGTGCGTCCCGAGGGTGGCTGGGGGCACAGAGGACAGGCTCGGGGGTGACGGGTCCCCCCGCCTGGCTTGCCCGCAGGGAGCCACGACACGATGACCTACTGCCTGAACAAGAAGTCGCCCATCTCCAGCAAGGAGCCGAGGCTGCTGCAGCTCCTGGGCAAAGTGCTGCCGTGCGTCACCCTGCCAGTGGTGCTCAAGTGGTCCACCACCCAGGTGAGGGTCTGCGGGCACGCCCGGGCCCCGGCCCAGCTTCAGCCGCCCGTGTCACCCACGGGCCGGCGTCCTTATCCCTGTTGGGGAAACGGGGTTGAGAGCAAACCCGCTGCAAAGCACAATTGTTTAGTCACTCAAGTTGCATCTGCCTCTCTGGGACGCTATGGACTGCAGCCCGCCAGGCTCCTCTGTCCATAGGATTCTCCAGGCAAGGATACTGGAGTGGGTGGCCATGCCCTCCTCCAGGGGATCTTCCTGACCCAGAGAGCCTCCCAGAAAGGTAGCAAAGGACACAAGCTTTAATGTGGACCAGCCTGAAGCCAAAGGGGGACGCATGGAGTAAGAGCATCACAGGCTGAAGTCAGAGAGGCTGGGGGAGCTGGGAGGGGGAGGGGGAGCTGGGAGGGGGAGGAGGAGCTGCGAGGGAGAGGGGGAGCTGGGGGGAGAGCAGGAGGGGAGGGGACGGGAGGGGAGGGTCCCTCCCTTTGTGCAGCTGAGCTGACAGGACAGCTCCTTCCTGCTCCCAGCTAAGCAATAGCTGAGTTCCCACATCCTCTGAGGTGGGTTTGTGTTTGCAGCCCAACACCCACTCCAGGGAGGCTTCCTTGGTGGCTCAGATGGTAAAGAATCTGCCTGCAATGCAGGGAGCTCAGGTTTGATCCCTGGGTGGGGAAGATCCCCTGGAGGAGGAAACGGCCACCCACTCCAGGATTCTTGCCTGGAGAATCCCAGGGACGGAGAGCCTGGCGGGCTGCAGCCCGTGGGGTCACAGAGAGTCAGACGACTGAGAACGCAGGCAGGCACTCACCCCCTTCCCCTGCAGTGCTCCTCCCGGGTGGATCGGGGTTTAGGGGTGGGGAGAAGCCAGGAGGGCGGCAGTTATCATGCAGGATGGAGAAGGGTTGATGGCAGGGCCCTGTCTGTGGGAAGGGGGCACCAACTCACAGCGGTCCTGTCGCCAGCACACGCGTCAGCCGGGGGCGGATGGTGCGGGGCAGAGAACCCACCTGGGCCCAGGGGCTCACCTGGGGGGCAGACGGCCCCTGCCTTCCTGTACCCCACCTGGGGGGCTTCAGGCTGGTCCTTCCCAGAGGACCAGAGGCTGTCAAGCACACCTCTTGCCTCCTGTAATTGCTATCTCTTGCCTCGTGTAATTGCTTCCTCCTGGGAGGTCCCCAGTTGCGGGAATCCTGCCTGGGGGACCTGAGGGGTGGAGAGCGCAGGCTGGAATGTGGGCAAACCTCATTCCTGCTCGGGTCAGGTGCCTGCAGCCTGACCTGCAGAGCTCACATCCAGAGGGGCGGGTCCACCAGAGCCCAGGAGGCCTGCGGAGCTGGGGGCCCTGGGTCCTGAGGGTCCCTTGGTGCTGGGGTCCCTCCGTCTGGGAGACCTGGGTGCCAGGGTCTCAAGTGAGGGGGGGTGTTGAAGGTCAGCAGCTGCAGCAGCCCTTGACTTAATCCTTTTAGGGGCAGATGGGAAGTGCCCTTGTGTAGCTGACAATATTCATATTAATCTTTGCTTTTTCTTTTATTTTGGATTGGATGGGGGGGGTTGGGTTGTGATTTTCTTTCCCATTTTTTTATCCTGTATTTTTTTCTTTTTCCATTATGACTCCGTGCAGAGAACACAGTACCGTTTTCTGCTACTAGTTTATGTTAATATTAGTTTTTACTTTTTCTTTTAAGTTGGATAGAGGGAGACTATCGCTTCCTTTCCTTTTTAATCCTTAGATGTTTGTCTTCTTCCATAATGACTGTGTGTAGAGAACATAGTGCCATTTTCTGCTACTAATTTATGTTAATATTAGTCTTTGCTTCTTTTCTAACAGAGAGCATCTGTTATTTTCTTTCCAGTTTTTTATCCTTGTTTTTCCTTTTTCCATTATGACTCCATGTAGAGGACACAGTACATTTTCTGCTACTAATTTATATTAGGGCTCCCCCGGTGGCTCAGCTAATGAAGAGTCTGCCTGCCATGCGGGAGACGTGGGTTGGATCCCAGGGCGGGGAAGATCCCCTGGAGAAGGGAGTGGCAAGTCACTGGAGAACCCCATGGACAGAGGGGTCTGCGGGCTACAGTCCATGGGCTTGCCAAGAGTTGGAGTTGGCTGAGCAACTTTCCCTTTCCATTTGTGTTGCTGTCAGTTTGCTTTTTCCTCTTACTTGTGTGGCAGGCAGAGGCTTCTCCCCTTCCTTCTCCCCTGACCCCTCCCTGCCTTTCCTAGTGCCTCTGGGGTGGGGGGGCAGACCTCTGCAGGTCCCGTGTGTCCTCCCCGAGGCTCCAGCTGGGCTGTTGCAGGCTCCAGCTGGGGTGTCGCGGAGCCTGGGCTGCTGAATGCACTGGGGCTTCCACCCAGGGACTGCTGGGGAGAAGGGTGAGGCTGGACCCTGCAGGGGACCCCCCCCCAAGACCACGGTCTGGGCCCGGGCTCTGCCCCACGTGACCAGTGACCCTGGAAAGCCCGTCCCCGGAAGCAGGGCCTGAGCCCGGCGGCAGCAGCACTGCTGACTTTACGGTGGAGACGCGGCCCCCAGCTGGGTGTCTTCAGCCCCCGACGAGCCGAGGCGGGGCCGCCCTGTGCCCGGCGCAGCTGACCGACCTATGTGTGCAGGTGCTGAGCGTCGCGGAGCAGCTGGATGCCGGCGTGAGGTACCTAGACCTGCGGATCGCGCACGTGGAGGACGGCTCCGAGACGAACCTGCACTTCGTCCACATGGTGTACACGACGGCCCTCGTGGAGGTGCGCGCGCGGTGCGGGCGGGGGCGCCAGCCGGGGACGGCCACGGGCGGTCCAGGCAGCAGGGGCTGACCTGTAAGGGCAAGCCGGGTCCCCCCGGGTGGGAGACGCCGGCCGCTAGGGGGCGCACACGCGGCCACTCACACAGACACACGTCCACCCCGGGTGGGAGACGCCGGCCCCTGGGGGGGCGGACACGCGGCCACCGCAGGTGGAAGACGCTGACCCCTAAGGGGGCGGACACGCGACCACTCAGACAGACACACGTCCACCCCGGGTGGGAGACGCTGACCCCTAAGGGGACGGACACACGCCCACTCAGACAGACACACGTCCACCTCAGGTGGGAGACGCCAGCCCCTAGGGGGGCGGACACGTGGCCACTCAGACAGACACACGTCCACCCCGGATGAGAGATGACCCCTAAGGGGGCGGACACGCGGCCACTCAGATGGACCCACATGCCCTCCACTCAACAGAGGCGGACCCTTAACAGGATGGACACACATCCACCCCAGGTAGAAGACGCTGACCCCTAAAGGGGCGGACACACGCCCACTCAGACAGACACACGTCCACTCCAGGCAGGAGAGGGCTGACCTCTGGCCATGAGTCACTCAGAATTCCCGACCAGCGTGCGTTTGTTTCTGAACTCAGACCTGTAGCCTTGGCCGCTGGGGCGTCTCCCGGAGTTTGGCTAAACCGGGTCCCCGGCGCGTCATCCTGTGTCCAGTCCATTCTCTCGGCTGCCAAGTCACGCCATGTCTCATTCCGCCCGCGGCCCCCGGTGCCCCCACCACAGACCACAGCGACCCTCGGGGTCTGGGGGCGCCATCCCTGCGCCTCACTGTCCACGCACCCTGCTGGCCCGGCACGCTCCCTGCAGTGCACACCTCACACAACCGCATGAGCACTGCTCCCCACTGCTGTGCACGCACACACATGCGTGTGCAGGGTACCTACAGGAGCGTGTGCACACGCCCACACACACCCAAGACTCCCCGCCGCCGCGCAGGGGGGGCTGGGTCCAAGACTCCCCGCCGCCGCGCAACGGGGGCTGGGTCCAAGACTCCCCGCCGCCGCGCAGCGGGGGCTGGGTCCAAGACTCCCCGCCGCCGCGCAGGGGGGGCTGGGTCCAAGACTCCCCGCCGCCGCGCAGGGGAGGCTGGGTCCCTTGGGAGCGGGCGCCACGCTGTGTGTGTGTCAGGACCCCTGACCGTTTGCAGAGTGGTCGGCTGGGGGAGCCCCGGCCACGCCTCTCAGCGCAAGGTCCTTCTCCCCACACCCGCCCAGGACACGCTCACGGAGATCTCGGAGTGGCTGGAGGGCCATCCCCGGGAGGCGGTTGTCCTGGCCTTCAGGAACTTCGAGGGCATGACGGAGGGCCTGCATGAGTACCTGGTGGGCTGCATCAAGAACATCTTTGGGGACAAGCTGTGTCCCCGCGGGGTGAGCAGGGGCCGCGGGCTCCCCATGTTCTCAGCGACGGGGGCAGTGGGAGGTCCAGGCTTCACTGTAATCAGACTGTCCACTCGCTGCATGAGGCCGATTCAGGCACCAGGTGACGGCGCTCAGGGAACCCCAGTAATCCACCCACCACTGTCTGCACTCAAACACGCCAGTAACCAGCCCATCACTGGTAACAGGCACCCCCAATAATCCACCCTGCCCGGTCTCCACTCAGACACCCCCAAAATCCATCAGTCACTCCTCAAGATGCCCTAGTAACCCACCTGCCATTTCCTATCAGAAGCCCCAATAATCCACCCATCACTGCCTGATAAGCAAGTAATCTACCCACCAGTGTCTCTACTCAGACACCCACAAAATCTACCAATCACTGCTCAAGACACCCCAATAACCCACCCATCACCATCTCCACTCGGACACCCCAGTGATCTACCCACCAGTGTCTCTACTCAGACACGCCAATAATCCACCACGACTGTCTCTTCTCACAGAGACCCTGATAACCAGTCCATCACTACTCACAGACACCCCAATAATTCACACATCACTGTAGCTTCTCGCACACCCCCAATAACTGACACATTGTGTCACAAGGCAGCCCAATAACCCCTGTGCACATGTCTCACGGGCTCCCGGATGATCGCCCCCCAGGAAGTTCCGACTCTGCGCCAGCTGTGGTCACGGGGCCAGCAGGTCATCCTGTCGTACGAGGACGAGGCATCCGTGAGCCGGCACGCAGAACTGTGGCCCGCGATTCCCTACTGGTGGGGGAACAAGGTGAAGCCCCGGGACCTCATCCACTACCTGGAGCACATGAAGAGCTGCGGCCGCCCAGGTAAATGCCCGCCTTGCACCGGGACACCTGGTCACACGCGTGTCCTAGGGCAAGGGGCTGGCTTTGGGTTCAAGTGGAGAAATGGAACAGGACATGTTAGGGGACGTTAGGGCGTGGACGTCCTCGGGGACGTCACTGTCCGCCACAGGGGCTCAGGATGTAGACAGGATGTAGACATCTGGGTGGACATTACTGTGTCCATCACACGGGGCGAGGATGTGGACATCTTTGGGTCACTCTCCAGCCTGCCCGCCCTCTGTAACAGGAGAACTTCATGAGTCAACACCGCTGTGAGCCCCTGCTGTCTGAACTTTGGTCTCTGTCGGACATCTGAAGCTCTGACTGCCGCAGAGACCAGAGTCTGGGTGGGGTGACGGCCTGGGCAGGTGACCGCATGGGTCAGTGGTCACATGGGCAGGTGATGGCATGGGCGGGTGACCGCATGGGTTACTGGTCACATGGGCGGGTGACCACATGGGCGGGTGACCGAGTGGGCGGGTGACCGAGTGGGCGGGTGACCGGTTTGAGTTGCTGACCACATGGGTGGGTGACTGTGTAAGGTGATGATCCCCTCAGCGGGTGGCCACATGGGTGGGTGACAGTGTGAGTGGGCAATCATGCGGACAGGTGACCACATGGCCTCACAGGTTAGGGACCCCCTGGGTGGGTGGACACGTGGCTTGGTGGCCAGGTGTCTTAGTGACCCCGTGGGCTGCTGACCCCGTGGATGGGTGAGCGAGTGGGTGGGTGACTGTGTGGGTAGGTGACCGATTTGAGTTGTGACCACATGGGGGGGGTGACTGTGTGAGTTGCTGACCCCGTGGGTGGGTGGCCACGTGGAGGGGGTCACCACATGGGTTAGTGACCCCACGGGCGGGTGACCATGTGAGTCGGTGTGAGCACATGGGGTGGCTGGCCACGTGACCCCGTGGGTTCGTGACCGCACACGTGGGCGGGTGGAGCCGGCACCATGAACAGAAGCCCCTTTCTGGTCCCAGGCGGGCTGTTCGTGGCCGGCATCAACCTCACGGAGAACCTGGGGTTCATCCTCGTCCACCCGGCCTGGTCCCTGGAGAAGCTGACCCTGTGGGGACTCCCCAACCTGTGCGCGTGGGTGCGGGCCCAGTGCCCGGGGTCGGCCGCCGGCTGCACCAACATCATCGCGGGGGACTTCATCGGTGCCACCGGATTTGTTAGTGACGTCATTGGGCTGAACCGGAAGCTGCTTCGGGGCTGACTGACGGTGCGCGGGTGGAGCTGGGCATCCCGGAGGCTGCTCCCCCGGCGCGCCCTGTGACGTCACCGGGCTGAACAGGAAGCTGCTTCGGGGCTGACGGACAGCACGTGGGTGGAGCTGGGCACCGCGGAGGCTGCTCCTCGGTCAGGTCCTGTGACATCACCGGCCTTAACTGGAAGCCGCCTCGGGACTGACAGACGGCGCGCTGAGGAGCTGGGCACTGCCGAGGCCGTTGTCAGCCCTGTCCTGCGGGGCTGGTGAGCCGTCCACCCGCGCACGGAATGTGGGTGGCTGCACAGGCGGGGCCAGGGGGCAGGGTCCGTGGGCTCCTTGGTCCTCCGTGTCTCTCTCCGCAGGCGTAGGGCACGGCGTGATGATTCAAGGCGACTGCGTCATTTGTACAGTCACATCCTCAGGGAGACACACCTGGTTCTCGGATCTGTGGCTTCCCCATGGGAGAGGCTGGGGGACCCCCTCGCCCTGGGCGCTGAGAGCAGCAGACACAACCCCCAGCTTGCGGGGGGGCACTGTTACCTACTGTCCATAGGAGGGGACTGAGCACATTATGATCCCACTGAGAAATCCCTTTTATTAGATGAGGGGCTTCCCTGGTGGCTCACTTAAGGCCTACTTGTCTCTCCTTGCTATTCTTTGGAACTCTGCATTCAGGTGGCTATATCTTTCCGAGTCTCCTTTCCTTGTCTCTTCTCTTCTCAGCTATGTGTGAGGCCTCCTCAGACAACCATGTTGCCTTTTTGCATTTCTTTTTCTTGTGGATGGTTTTGATCACCACCTCCTGTACAAGGTTAGGAACCTCTGGCCACAGGTCTTCTGGTACTGTGTGCCAGATCTAACCTTTGAATCTGCCACTTCCACTGTATAATCAGAAGGGATTTGAATAAAGCAAAGAAAAAGGAAAACAATAGAATGGGAAAGACTAGAGATCTCTTCAAGAAAATTGGAGAAACCAAGGGAATATTACATGCAAAGACAGGCACAATAAAGGACAGAAACATTATGGGCCTAACTAAAGAAGAGATTAAGAAGAGGTAGCAAGAATACACAGAAGAACTTTAAAAAAAAAAAAAAAGGTCTTAATAACCTGTATAACCACAACGGTGTGATCACTCACCTAGAGCCAGACATCCTGGAGTGCAAAGTCAAGAGGGCCTTAGGAAGCAACAGTACAAACAAAGCTAGTGGAGGCGATGGAATTCCAGGTGAGCTATTTCAAATCCTAAAAGATGGTGCTGTTGTTAAAGTGCTTCACTCAATATGCCAGCAACTTTGGAAAACTTGGCAGTGGTCACAGGACTGGAAAAGGTCAGTTTTCATTTCAACCCCAAAGAAGGGCAACGCCAAAGAATGTTCAAACTACAGCACAACTGCACTCATTTCACATGCTAGCAAGGTAATGCTCAAAATCCTTCAAGCTAGGCTTCAACGGTATGTGAACCGAGAACTTCCAGATGTATAAGCCTGATTTAGAAAAGGCAGAGGAACCAGAGATTAAACTGTCAACATCTGTTGGATCACAGAAAAAGGGAAATCCAGTAAAACATCTGTTTCATTGACTACACAAAAGCCTTTGACTGTGTGGATCACAACAGACTGTGGAGAAGTCTTCAAGAGATGGGAATACCAGACCACCTTACCTGCCTCCTGAGAAACCTGTATGCAGGTCAGGAAGCAACAGTTAGAACTGGACATGGAACAACAGACTGGTTCAAAACTGGGAAAGGAGTATGTCAAGGCTGTACACTGTCGCCCTGCTTATTTAACTTATGCAGAGTACATCATAGATGGGTGGATGAAGCACAAGCTGGAATCAAGATTGCTGGGAGAAATAGCAATAATACATGCAGACGAAACCACCCTAATGGCAGAAAGTGAAGAGGAACCAAAAAACTAAGATCATGGCATCAGGTTCCATCACTTCATGGCAAAAAGATGGAGAAACAATGGAAACAGTGACAGACTATTTTCTCGGGCTCCAAAATCATTGTGGACAGTGACTGCAGCCACGAAGTTAAAAGATGCTTGCTCCTTGGAAGAAAAGCTATGACAAACCTAGACAGAATACTAAAAGGCAGAGACATCACTTTGCCAACAATAGTTTATAATCAAAGCTATGGTTTTTCTGACAGTCATGTACAGATGTGAGAATTGAACCATAAAGAAGGCTGAGTGCCGAAGAATTGATGGTTTCAAACTGTGATGCTGGAAAACACTCTTGAGAATCCCTTGAACAGCAAGGACATCAAACCAGTCAATCCAAAAGGACATCAACCCTGAATATTCATTGGAAAGACTGATGCTGAAGCTCCAATATTTTGGTCTCCTGATGGAAAGAGCCAACTCATTGGAAAAGACCCCGGTGCTGGGAAAGACTGAGGGCAGGAGGAGAAGGGGGCGGCAGAGGATGAGGTGGTTGGATGGCATCACCACCCCGGGCATTGGAAGCACAGAATGTTAACCACTGGCCTGCCAGGGAAGCCCCAGTTTGTGGCTTTTTGTGACCATACAACTGAGAGGTTGCTAGCAGTTTTTATGATAATCCTTGAAGTATCCTTGAAAGTCCAAGGTTGATGAAGCACAGTGCATGGCTGCTGGGTCAGAAAATAAACCAGGGCTTCCCTGGCGGCTCAGTGAATCCGTCTACCAATGCAGGAGACGAGTTCTGTCCTTGATCCAGGAAGATTCCCGCGTGCCGTGTGGCAGCTAAGCCCGTGAGCCCTGCACTGCGGAAGCTGGGAGCCCCAGCTGCTGAAGCCTGTGTGCCTAGTCTGCGCTGTGCAGCGAGAGAAGCCAGGGCAGTGAGAGCCCCGCATACCACAGCTCGAGAGTAGCCCCCGCTGTCTGCAACCAGAAGAAAGCCCACACGGCAGCAGACACCCAACACAGCCTGTACGGAATACAAAAACCCAGCCCCAAAATAAAATTTTAAAACAGAAACCACTAGCCCACACAGTCAAGGATCTAGGCGCTGAAACTCATCTTGGTATCCACCCCCGTCAGATAGGTGTTGGGGGCGCCCCTGGGGGCTGCCCGCCCTACTCCCCCTCCCTGTGACCATGGCCTCCCACTCACCTAGCCAGACCTGTTCTCGAAGCCCCCAGTATCCCTGGGACCCAATTGGGGGNGGGGGGGGGGGGGGGGGGACAGGGAGAGCCTGTCTGCAGGAGGGTCTCAGGACAGCCTGGGTACTTGGGTGGTCTTATACCTGTTCTCACCATATGCCAGCCCGAAGCCTCTCCCTGAACCCCCTGAGATCCTGGGGCCCTGAGACCTCCAGCCCCTCCTTGTCCCATGAAACCCCTGCCCTCTGCCTGGTGAGACCCAACCTCCTCCTCCTCCCTGGGATCCCCCCTCAGCTCCCTCGGGGGGTGTCAGGCCCTGCAGGCGCCTGCCTGTGTCTGCGCAGCTCTGAGGTGAGCTCTGCTCCCCCAAGTTTTGGGGTACAGCTTCTAGGACTCGGGGGGACCCTGGGGAGCAGGTGGGGGGATGTTGGGAGGAGAGGGGACCAGAGGCCAAAAGTGACCCATACTGTCCTTCCTGTGTCCTGCAGACTGAGAGGACTTGGGAATGGAGCTGGGAGGAACTGGGTGGCCAAGCCCTGGGGATCCTGGAAGAGACCAGGACTGAGGAGGTCCTGGGATCACGTGGGAACCCCCAGGGCAGCCCTGGCCTGCTGAGGGGGGCTGGACCCCAGGAGCCTGGGGGTTCGTCCCAAGTCACATGCTCGCCACCCAGCGGGGTTAGGGTTAGTGCCCGTCCACCCCACCTAGCAGACCCAGGAGGATGGAGACCAGCAGGGGCTGAGCTGAATGAAGGGGAGCGGCCGGAGGCGCAGGTGCACTGAGGCCCTGAGTGGCTGGCTCCCCATCTGCTCATCAGAGAGAGGGCTCTGCTCCCCGCCCCTTCACAGCCCTGCTTGTCCACCCCATGCAGGACCTGGCTGTCGACAAGAAGCCCGACCTTTTATTTTCCTTTAGGTGAAAACACCTAACGCCTGTGCGATGGGTTACTGTGTGCTGGGCCCTATTAATGAGCAGAGCCTTCACGCTTGCTGGGTTCCTGTTTTAATCACTCCCTGGACACTGCCGTGTGCAAGGGCAGGCTGGCTGGATGGGACCCATGTGGGATACACAGCGGACACACAAACTGGACCTTCTTACCTAGAAGGCAGCGTTCACGGGGTGTCTGCTGGGTGGCCGGTGACAAAAACCACAGAGGCTAGTTTACACACACACCGCACAAAGCTTTCTCTGTCTGGTGTGTTGTCAACCACCCTGGACAGACATCTATTCCCCAGACGACCTGACGGTCGCCCAGAACCACTTAGAGTCCCACCGGGTACCGTCCTCACAGGGCTGGCGGGGGTAGGGACGGTGGGGTGGGGGGCGAATACCCACCGCAAGTGCTTGTCTCTGAGACTAAAGGGTGCAACGCCCTCATCTTTGGGGAGGGGGTAATCCTTTCACCCCGGAAACAGCTTCCGGAACCGTCCGTAAGCAGAGTCACTGATGATGACTTTCACGTCGGCAGCCCCAGCCTCAGGGATCACGTCCACTGCCTGCACCGTGGCCTCCTGGTGAAGCCAGCTGCAAGGGAGATGACATTGGTGGGAGGGACAGGAGGTTGGTGGGCGGGACACGCGATTGATGGGCGGGACATGCAGTGGGGGGCATGTGATTGGTGGGCGGGAGATGTGATTGGTAGAAGGAAGATGTGATTGGTAGTAGGGAGATGTGATTGGTGGGGGGGACACGCGATTGGTGCGGGGACACATGATTGGTGGGAGACGCAACTGGGAGGGACACGTGATTGGTGGGAGTGACAAATGAGGTGGGAAACTATTAGTGGGTAGAGACCCAATTGATAGGAGGGAGACATGACTGGTGGGAGGGACATGCGCTTGGTGGGAGTGACACACCACTGGTGGGAACCAAGACCCTGACGGGGTCTGAACCCCTACCCAGCCTTCCCGGGATTGGGAAGCCGGTATATCCCACAGTCCCGGCGAGTGGACACAGGGCCATATACACCTGCTTGTGCTGGGAGGGAGACGCGATTGGTGGGAATGGAGACCCAGATGGAGCCTGAACCCCCACCTCGTACCTGGTAAGCGCGGGGACGCAGGGGTGACAAAGCGGCCCCAACACAATGGCCTTGCCTGCTCACATGAATGACACCCCCACCCAGCACAGCGATGATCGGCGCTACCACCCCTCCAGCCACGCCTGCCCCATGCACCTCAGCTGTTGTCCAGCCAGCCGCACGCGGAGGGTGAGGGTTCGTCTCCCCGTGGCTCGCAGAATGGCGTCCTCCACCCTGGCCATCAGCTCATCCAGCCCGAGCCCCAGGAGGGCAGACACGGCCAGGACGTCAGGCTCCGCGGGTGTGTACCTATCCGGGCAGCCAGCACAGCGCGCTCAGCAATGATGAGCTCACCCGGGCACCAGGTCACCTCGCTGTGGACTCACACCATACACTCCAGGGGTGGGGGGGCGCACCCAGGCACCAGGTGACCTCACTGTGGACTCACACCATATACTCCAGGGGTGGGGGGCTCACCGGGGCACCAGGTCACCTCACTGTGGACTCACACCATACACTCCAGGGGTGGGGGGCTCACCCGGGCACCAGGTCACCTCACTGTGGACTCGCACCATACACTCCAGGGGTGGGGGGCTCACCCGGGCACCAGGTCCACCTTGTTGTGGACTTCCACCATGCTCTCCAGGAGGGTGTTTGGTAGGCCGAGGCCCCGCAGGGCCGACAGCACACTGGCCTTCTGCAGCTCCGTCTCGGGGTGGCTGACATCTCTGACATGGACGATCAGATCCTGAGGATCAGATGGGCCAGGTGGTCAGCTCTTGGGGGCAGGGGCTCCTACCTCCCGCCCCAGAGGACCCCCAGCCCCAGGACACTGC